AAAAAATAAGAGCAGACAAAATATAATATCAGTTATGAAAGTTTTACACTTACAGTAATTACAACATTATTATAATTACTGCTACTACTACTAATACTGTAATAATGATAAAATATACTTTTGCCAAGAGTAATACTCACACTTGACATTAAGAGTTTTGGTCTCATTTGTTTTGACATTTTTGAAGGTGACCTTACAGGTCACGTTACAGGTGACCTTACAGGTGACCTGACCACTGTTGTGTTTTGTTGAAGCGTTAAAGGTCAGAGTTGAATTGAAGGCAGGCATATCCTCAGACTGGAATTCAGTGTTGTTTTCTTTGATTTCATAGAGGTTTTGTCCTGATCCACTCCATATCCAGGTGATATTAGGAGTGGATCCAGAGCAGAGACCAGGAGCGCTGCAGGTCAGTGTAGTCTGCTCTCCCTCTGTTATTTCAGGAATCTCCAGTGTGGGCTTTTCACTCAGCTCTAATAGGAAAGTAAATGAAACAAGACATTATAATCAGCATAAAAACCACTACTAATTTAAAGTAGACGTATGATCACTTTGTTAAGTAACTTAAATTGTGAAAAGTACAAGATAAGGCTGAAAAGTTCCAAGACAGGTGCAAGCTCTGTGAGGTATACCCAAACATCAGTTTATGTCTGACCAAAGGAATAGACTAAAGGACATTCAGCAGTTTCTGTTTTTCACTTTAGCTGACATATATGATGAATGGAGACACAGGACCTGCATTACAGGAAGTCGTTGTGCCTTTGTGTTAATCTGAGCATCATGTTTATTCACAAAAATCTTTGGAGTGGTAATGATTTAACAACTCTTAAACTCACGTTAAACAAACATGTGCTAGTGCCATAATGCAGCTGTAGTTAATACAACTCATTGTAATTTAGTCGAGCTAACTCATTTAAATCAAACATGATAATGTGGTCACTGTGCAGGGAGTATTTGTGGTAGGTTTTGATACCTGTAACTGTGACTGTGATGTTTGCAATCAGTGTGCAGTTAGTCTTTGTCTTAGCGACAGCGTGATATGCTCCAGAGTCCGACTTGGTGAGGTCATTGATAATGATGCTGCAGTTCTTATTTTTCAGGTCAGCCTCCAACAGTGACACCCTCCCTTCAAACTCAGAGTCAGTTTCCGTATTGTTACTGGAGCCAAATATTGTTTTAGTTATGTTTCCATCATGTTTATACCAAGTTATATTTTCAACATCACCATCCTCTTTAGTAACAGAACACGCTAGAACAACACACAGTCCATCCTGTGCTGATACATTTTCATCACTTTGTGTGATTCTGCTGTTGCTCTTTGGACACTCAGGAGTCCCAGAACCTGAACATGCAAAAACAAAAGAGACAAACCAGAAGAGAAGAAGCTGAGTTCATGAAAATCAAAAACGATGGTAACCAACACCATCAGTTTACATCATTTACAATGTTTATATTTAAAGATGCCTCTTTTACTTTACTTCTGCTGTTAACTGATATGACTTATATAAGCGATGCAGTTCACAGCTGTTGCTTCCCATTTTTAACTTAACGTAAATTACATTTTCAAACACGGCTGTCTTTGAAACTGCAGTTTTCCTTCTTTTTGTAGGTTCCTTAAATTCATATATTGATGAAGATTTAAATAAAATTTCCTTCTGTACCTGTGTCAGCGAAGAGCAGAATCACCCAGATGAGAGTTAACATTCTGATTTGAATGACAGCACGGCTTCTCTCCACAGGATAGACGCTTTCTTTTCAAAGCACAAACACACAAAAGGTGCAGTAAAAATATAGAAAGTTCAGTGGCTGATAGAATCACATACAGGATATTACACTTACATATTTACTGTTTTAATATATTTTTTCATGTGACCAATAAACTTGGCTGAGATCTTGAAATATCAAAGTTTAAAGCATCATATTAAAGCATTTCTTGATATCTGTG